TTGACCCCGAGAAGATAAGTAATTTAGAAAAAAAGCTCAGCAATTGCACTACATGCATGCATTAACACACAACCACACAATAGGGTGGGAGAGAGTTAAAACTCTAAAAAGTAATCTAGGTAGGTGGAGAGCGAGAGAGGTTGATTACTGAATCCCACCCGGTCTACACCCAACACATGCAATAGGATGATTCATCACTCATATCAGGAATATGGAAAATACTACTACCAATCAAATCATGTGAAAATCAAGTGAAAAATAATGGAACTATATAAACGAAGTTAGGAAGTTGTGTGATCACCTTGATATGATTATGAGCGGCAATAAAGTGTGCTCGAAACGTCATCAGTAAACATTACTGTATAACACTGTGAGACTTTATCAAAACAAGATTTACCCATATTGGAATTACACTCTACCACAGTGCACAAATTTTATTCTTATATCAAAAAAGAATCCCTTAATAATATATATTTATTCCTCTCTATGTAGGACACACCAGTTTTACAGGCATGGATAAGTATTATTTACATTACACAAATTTGATTTATGGTGAAAACATGGTTGCTGTCCTTTCTGACATTAGTTTGTGAGTACAATCTGCTAACTGGTCATTCAATGGAGCATTAACAAAGCAAAACCCAAGTATGTGTTTTGGATGGATTACAGATATTTGGAGGGGGGGGGTGGAAATAAAGCTTGAAGTCAATTCCTCTATATAACTTTGTTGTGTGCACGGCATCGTATCTTCTTCTTGATTTGTATTCAAATTGGGTATATTAATTTGAAATGAGTGATTTATTTGTATAATTTTTGTCAGCACTTTTATCGTAAGTAACACCAGATGTGAATTCTACTGAATGCAGATTAATATTGATTAGTGTCACGCAGATTTGTTTTACTGCACCCATGTCAACCAAAACCGCCATTTGTCACTGCATGATTGTTCCGTACGAGTAAGTTGATTAACACGTAGAAAGCTATACGTAAGCCATTTTGGATCATTGATACTACTTGTATAGGATGCTGTACAGCGTCTTGTTATGGTGACAGTGGATATTCCAAGAATGCTGAGTCACTGCTAGCCAAACCTTGAAGGATGATATATGAGTAAGTGATTTCATCAACTGCTTCTCAGCTTCAGTCTAAATGTAGATCTGTTCAACTTCTACTACAAGACAAATAGTGTTAATCGTCGTGTACACATTAAATGACCGTTATCAATAAGCTGGAGTGTCTATGAACTGTAGTTTAATACTCCAGTATACAAAGTGGTGTTGTTTCAGACATTCTCTGAATAATATACTAAAATAACTAAAATCCTGAGAGAGGTGGTTAGCTTGCAACAAGACTAATAGCAAGCGAACTACTGTCTAAATCATTTGACACACTTCACATTAAACAACACCATAAAACGATACTTTCTATGTGTCAGTATTAATTGTAAAATACACAATGATATACTTGATCGATGCACAATGTTTTTCAAGCATAGAAAGTGTGACAGAAATACCAAATGAACTACTGTCTAAACATCGATCATTAGATGGAGAAAAAGTGCACACATATTAACTGTGTCGTATTGCGTAATCGAAAAGTTTATGTGTCACATAAATCTAAAATTTATATACCATTTGCTAACTTATATAATCCTTGATAGCGGTAACATATTGCAAAACAATATACACACTGGCTTACTTTACAATTTTTAGCCATGATCACAGAATTTAGACCGTAAGTTCTTATGACCGATTGCTCAGGTTAGGTGGAACAACATGATTAAACAGTATTTAAGTTAAATGTCAAGTATCGCGTGATAAAGTAAGACCGATAGGTAAAGCCATTAATTTACACTATGTGAAGTGGCTAAAAAGTGTTACACATTCTAAAATCGTTGCCTTGCTTGACAAGAATTGTGGCTCAATGAGGGTTAGATTGGAAAAGAGTAGAAGGTGAGCGCTAATCGACAAAGTAATTTACTACGGATCTGAGCCACAATACAGGAGAGTAGGTCGCTTGGTTGTAACCACATGGCAAACCTACTTAAAATTGCTAACAGTAGTACAGCCATACACAGTCTTCTTCGTCTTAAAAATTCTAAACATCTACTACAGGAATGTTTAATGTTTTCTTTTTCGAAAGTCAAGGCTGAGACCTTTTTAGAGTTTTATGTTGGCTTGTCTATATCTACTCTAGGCAGAGTATGTAAACATATAGCCAATGAGAATTCGATAAACCTTCACAACATATTTCTCCGAGCTCTGGGAAATTAGTGTTTGTAAAGCTCATGCGAAAAATTCATCTTAATGAAAAACGATGGAACAATTTTTGACTTTATTATTTCACCTCTGTTAATTTATGTCAAAACAGTAGTTCAGTCTTTCCTTGCTTGGAATATGCTTTCTAAGATGATGAATAATGTTCTTAATACATACAGGTTTCACATTGTCAGGTTGGACTATAATATAATAAAACGCTATGAATATGCATCAAAAGTTAATTCACTTTAATTTTACTTGAAACTCTGACGAGTGGCTAGCATAAAACTAAAAGGTTTATAAAAATCAAAATGCCCGCTTAAGGAACAACTCAACTTGTGAACAACACTTTATGGTGTTATGGAGTACAGTAGCATGAATAGGTTAGCATATTTTACGCAACTTCATAGATGTGAATCCAACAAAATCGTTAACAGAGGTATTCTGAGCCATACAAATAGTTGTGAACTTCCACGTACAGGTACAATAATGCACTGAGAATGGATGGCTGCTTTATTTTGTTTTATTCCCCTACGTTCCCAGTGGAACGCTGGACTTCGAGATACAGCTTTGAAGTTTAGATAGCGGTGGTATTTATTTTTACGGGATGTGATTGCTAGCCTTATGCCCAACCTTTCCTCATTACCAGCCTTATTACTGGCTTAGGGAGGTAAAGGAGTGCGTCAGCCGGGGATCAAACCCTGTACCCCCTGCATGGTTGGCGAGCATTCTACCACTGTGCGACCGACGCATGGCCACTTATTCAACTCGTATCATTCAGCCTGGATGTTTTATTGCCCCTTTTGTCTAAGCATTTCACTAAGATTAAGATTATCACCACTAAATTCTATTCCTTTTCGTCAATTAGCTTTGTTATATAACCCAACACAACTTAGTTGATATACAAGTATGAAACGGTTTTTCACTTAAGTCTCTTCGTGAAATAAACTGTTAAACATCGAGAATGTTCTGTTTCTTATTTGAATTTTGTTGATTAGTTCCTCATCCAAGTATGTGCAGCTAAATAACTGATTAAAGCATACAGTACATTAAAACAACTTGAATTATGCTCCGAAATTCACAGTCCGAATGCTGATCATTCAGATACTAACCACTTTTCACTATACAAGCAAAGAACCTTCATATGTTTTCAGTCATAAAATTTTAAATAAAGTCTCCTTTCGAGTAATATATTGTTCAATCAATACAGACGCATTCGTCATTTAGTCAACGTTACCGTTAACTGTAGAGAATACATCAGATCTTCAGGGATTTGACCAACACTAATGTTGTAATACCGCTCACACTGGTAAAACCATCACATGAGTAACGTAGATGGTAAAGGTAGAACCACAGTGGTTTGAGGTCACAGATATATGAGTAGTGTGTTACACACATATACACACACAAAGTTTAATCCAACATTCTATTTTATCAGAAGTAGAATGACAATAGGAGAAAGTGAAGACTTCAGGGCAAAAAGTAGTATCAAACTATAAGATTAATGACTGCTAGTCTACACCACCTGCAGAAATAGTGGTTATCACAGTGTTGCTCATGTGATGACAGAAAACTATGGTTAGACATTAGATGACGTAGCCTGAAGTAAATTTAAGCGGTGTAGACGCTTTTACAGCTCACCTTTACCTTAACTGTAATAACGCACTTCTCCATTTATTTTTATTCTTCTTTTTAGTTCTGAAATAATTTATAACGCTCATATTATTTCCATCTTCTGGTGACTTGAACCAGTTGGCAATCATGCAAGGTGTGCTGATAATGACCGATTGAATTACAGAGGAATATAATATTGGTAGCTTTTAAATTGTTAACTAGTCAGTAAATATGACACCTAATCAAAATGTTTTGTCAACAATCTTTTCTGTTACACATATAACAAAAAGTAAGAATAAATTCTAACGATTTACTTTGTACGTTCCCTCAAAAGCATTGTCATTATTTCAGATGTGCGAATGATTTAAATACAAACTGCTTCACATCTACTTACATTAACAACAAGCAAACAAGCCTTAGTTCCATTTCAACTCATTACATGATACTAGGCCATTGACAGTGAATTAAATAAGTACAATAGCATGAAACGACTACATGAGCAAAAGCGAGTCATGAGTATAAATATTCAAACTATAGTATACTGAATTGACTAACTTACTCAACAAAGTACTAAACAACTCCATAAGTGAAAGAAAAATACACCAAACGGACATTTAAAAATATTCCAAAGAAAAGAATAAAATGAAAATCAAAACGTAATAGTATTTTTAACAAAAATATAAAAAAAACCAACTGGCTTACATGCTAAATTTTCACTATATAACCTTCGATATTCTCTTTCGAATTCACGCTCAATTCTTGCAAAATGCTTATGAAGTCTTTGCCTGAATTCACGTGGTAGTACGGATTCAACTGGACCAGTATACTCACCCATCAAATGCCATGTCAAATAGTTATCTTCCTCAGTAACACCACCTATCACAGAGCCTGGGAGAGTATTTGCTGCACATGTAGAGACAGGGATGTTAGACGCCTCAGTAGTGATCACATCTCCATCTGATGGATTTGTACGCAAAGCTGCAAACATGATATGGGCAGCTAAACACCCTCGTGAGTTATTACAGTGCAGTTAGTAACCTATGATGTGCGAAAAAAATCACTGTACAGAACTGAAGAACAAAAATAAAACAAACGTTGGAGAAAAAACAATGAAATAGGAAAAATCATTTATTTGCTAAATACAGGTAAACTTTGAATATACTGATCGAGTTTCTCAGTAAACACTTGACTTTTAATCGGTTCTTCAGACTTAACTAGTGGATTCTGTGAAACATATTTAGTGTAAATTTGAAAAATTCCTTCAAGTTCTTCATGCATCGGTGTACAAGAATTATCAGTAGTAAGTACAATTTTCATGAGTGTAGGAGTTTCATAGAAATGAAGACGATATGTATTTGTGATATATGAGAAGCGGTTTATTTCGTAATCCAAAGGTGAAATTTTCTGACAAAATCCTTTTAAACCAATCAGCATACCGCGCATCAACTTTAAATCATTGTTTGACGGACATTCACCTTGTTTCGTTTTAGTCCATTCACGATAATATAGGCTATCTCCATTTTTCCCATAAATGTAGAGATTATACACCGTCATCTAAGAAAATAAGCGATATCGGAGTTAGTACACAAGTTCGAACATTTCTAAAAGTTTGGCAATAAAAACTATATATATATATATATATATATACGTCTGTAAGAAAAATTGTCTGTATAATGCATTGGTTCAGTTTTATTAGGGGATAAAGATGTACATCCAAAACTAACGGGAAATACAAGCTAACTCTTATATAGATTGTAGATCTGAGAAACTAATAACTTGTCTGAAACTGCCTAGTTTTGACACACGAATAAAGAGCCCATTCGAATTCACGGAGTGAACTACCATCGACCTTCTTTTTCCACTTTTTTGTTCACTAATTATATATTACCAACATCCTGAACGCAAAGTTGTTTCAGTTTAAAGAGCCACAAAGGGAAATATAGACTGCCTGGTTGGGGTCCTCAAGATGTTAAAAACCAATAGCTGGAAACTGCCAGTGATTTGACTCATAACCGTTTCCAGTGACGCAGATTTACTTACTCTTTTTAATTTGCCTGACCCAAAAAGTCTTTTTTTCCAACCTGCTATTCTTTCTCCTAAACATTTCTGCTTAATTTAGTTACTTTGAATTTCATTATCCTTTCTTTTCTCTATTTGTGTGCTACGTGGAATATGGCAACTTGAAATGATGCACTTTTGTACAAGATTCTACGTTGAAACTCAGCCAAATAGCTTAAAGAAGGAATGCCAGCACTGGAAGGCCTACTAGAATGTCTTGCAAGTTGGTTAACATAACATCTGAGACTAGAAATTATGTCTACGAAAGACATACACATAAAATCAAGAAACAACTGAGTTATGACTTTCTGTTTATGAGTATTTAAGACAGAAATGCACAAATTTGCGGGTTAGAGTGAATATAACGAGCAGATAGCCTTTTAAATTTTAGCTTTGAACAATAAACTTGATAATACTTGATAACAAGATCACTGGTCACATTTTGGTTTTCGATTGTTTTTACAGATGAATTAACATTACTATCCGTGGAATTCTAGAATATTTATAGCCCATTCGACCACGTTTTACGGTCTTACCTGGTTGGTCATCCTTTCTCTACACTGCTTCCCACATATTCAGTGCTCTTCAGAAGGGAGAACCTACAACTCCAGGAGATAACCTTCAGTTTGGGGAGCGAGCATTAACAATTCAGTCAATGGATTGAAATCTATTGGTCTATATATTTCAGTCTCAACATCTGTGGAACATAGCCACTGCGCCAACTGTTTCACCCAGCAGTATTCTACACAAGACTTGATGGATCCCACTGATTACAACTCATGAATTTTGAGAAATTTATTTCGTGTCTTACTGTTGATGAGCAATAGATGATGAGATTTATAGATATTTTTAACGCAGAATTTGTCCCGAGACAAAATCAATTACAGAACCACTAAAAATCGGATCACTAAAATCACCAGATGGCTTTGCTTTTTTTCGCAATTCTATGATGCATACCTACAATTATTTATTATTCAAAGGTTTCACGATTTTTAGCGACCGAAAGCTGCTACCTTGACGTGGTGGTCGGGCTTGAACACCGCAATGATCTATTCAAGCTATACTGGCTGAGACTTATGTCTCTTGAGGTCCTACCATGCCAGGCAGGTTGTTTGGATAGCGGTTAAACAAAAAGCAGCTACCCAATCCAACATCATGTCCAATACAAAATCACAAAATTTCATGCCGGATCGGCCGTGGCCCGGATTAACAACGACCGCGCTTCCTGCTGCCGTGTCACAGGGCAGGAGTGATAAGTATGCTACTGAGACACACCAAACAAAAGAGAACGAACAAAAACAGGCCGCGTGTGACCGGCCTCAAGCAGTTGTCCCCTGGGCTCTGCGGTCACGCAACCAACTTCCACGGTGTGGGCAGCCGGGAAGTAACAATCGCCCTCACAATCCGAAATGCACACGAAACCTCTCTATTACTCACTCATCTTTGTCTTCATCTTCATCTCTATCATCTTGCCTTCCACTGATGCAACTCCTCGACTTGATAGCTCTCCACTTCCTCTCCACTCTGCGTCCACTAAAAACGATGGAAGCCAAAAAACCACCACCGACAGCCTCTTAAAGCCGCGCCACCAATTTCATATAGGAGCTCTTAATGTTAGGACACTTTGCCAAATAGGACAACAAGCATCACTAGCCAAGACCCTGGCATCACGAGCCATTGATGTATGCTGTGTTTCAGAAACACGCATACAAGACCCAAGTGTGGTTATTCACCTAACCCCACCTGGCCAACAGGTTGAATCTGCAAAATTCACCTTGAGGGTGTCAGGAGATGCCACAGCTAGTTCACGAGGATTAGCTGGCGTAGGGATAGCTTTGAGTACTAGGGCAGAAAAGACATTGCTTGACTGGATCCCGGTAGATAGCCGAATGTGTGCTGTCCGCCTGAACGGATCAGTAAGAAGGAGGAAGGACTGCACTACTCGCCGATGCCTTTTCGTAATCTCCGCCTACGCCCCCACTGACTGCAGTTCAGATGAAACGAAGGATGAGTTCTACCAAAAGCTGTCTAGTTTGGTGCGAAAGGCTAAACGCTCAGACATAGTCGTTCTAGCTGGTGACTTTAACGCTCAAGTAGGGAAATTGTGTCAATCTGAGAAGGATGTCGGTGGCACCTATGGAGTTCCGTGCCAGCGAACCGACAACGGTGACCGTCTCCTACAGTTCTGCTCTGATAATCATTTGTTTCTTGTAAGCACTAACTTCAAACACAAGGAGAGACACTGTTTGACTTGGAGACCCCCTTCATCAAACCAACGCTGGACACAAATAGACCACATAGCAATAAGCTATCGTTGGCGTGGGTCGGTAGGAGATTGTCGCTCCTTCTGGAACACGTGCGTAGATACCGACCATGCACTGGTCCGCGCTCGGGTGTGCTTACGACTGAACGGACGTAGGAAACAGCTGGCGGTAAAACCATCACGTCCCCAGCTCGATCAGGAAACTAAATCCGTATTTGAGGAAGAACTAGCTAAACACATATCTGTGTTCGACAGCTGTGCTCACCCTGAAGAAGCTTGGAAAAATATCCAGGCAGCCATAGATACAGCTGTAAAAGCTGTGAATAAGGTAAACCCAAAGGTGAGTAAAAACCACTGGATCTCCACCGCCTCATCCGAACTGATAGATGCTAGAAGACTTATTCCGGCGAGCTCCGAATTCAATGAGGAGCGAAAGCTGCACAAGAGGAAACTTACGAAAAGTCTCCGCAAGGACCGTGAACAGTGGTGGGCGACAAAAGCCAAAGAGATGGAGAAAGCTTCGAGGATAGGCAACACCAGGCAACTCTTTGGACTCATCAGGGAAACGGGTGGGAGAAGACAAATCATTAGTGAGACAATCTCGGAAAAAAATGGCACTATAATTAGCTCCCAGGATAGACGACTGGATCGTTGGAAAGAGCATTATGAGGAGCAGTTTAATTCCCACAGCCACGCTCAACCTTCCGAGCATCCAACACCTCCCTGAATGGGATATAAACACAGGTCCTCCGTCACTAACTGAGGTTACTAAAGCTGTCACCAATCTGAAACTAGGCAAAGCAGCGGGACCTGATGGAATGACTCCAGAGGTATTTAAGTACGGTGGAGACAGCTTACTGTCCGGATTAACTGAGGTACTAGGCAGCGTCTGGGAATCAGAAGAAGTCCCATCGGGTTGGTGTAAGTCACTGATTATCCCCATATACAAGAAGGGAGACAAGTCTTCCTGTGATAATCACAGAGGGATTAGCTTGACTAATATAGTATCTAAAGTCTTAGGCTCAATAATCATGCGTAGACTGAGTGGTGCTCGGGAAGCACAAACACGAGAGAGCCAGGCAGGCTTTAGACCAGGAAGAGGGTGTATTGATCATATCTTCACCCTCCGACAGATTCTAGAACATAGGCATTCCTACCGGCGTCCAACAGTCATTATATTTCTTGACCTAAAGGCAGCATTCGACTCTGTCGATCGAGAAGTTCTCTGGAGATGCTTGGCTGTAAAGGGAATTCCGAGAAAATATATTGCACTGATTAAGGCACTCTACTCGTACTCATACAGCCAGGTGAGGGCTTACGGCGAGCTGTCATCTGAACTGATGACGACCAGTGGTGTCCGTCAAGGATGCCCATTATCTCCTTTTCTATTCAACTTCATCATAGATGTGTTAATGGACTTAACCCTAGGTGACTTCAGCGACTCAGGGATTGACTTGCTACCGGGGAATAATCTCGTTGACTTGGAATATGCAGACGATATAGTCCTTCTAGGCGAAGACGCTGACGAAATGCAGAGTCTTCTAAACACCTTGAGCCGCAATCTACGAATGTTTGGCATGCGATTCGCTCCCGCCAAATGCAAGATGATGTTACAGGACTGGACTACATCGACGCCTAGTTTAAAAATAGGAAGTGAAGTGGTAGAGCACGTTGACCGCTTCACTTATTTGGGAAGTACCATCAGCCCCAACGGGCTGATCTCTGACGAAATCTCAGCACGAATACAAGGGGCTCGTTTCGCATTTGTTAGTTTACGCCGACTCTGGCGTAGACGAGATGTTCGACTATCGACCAAAGGGCGGGTGTACTGCTCATCAGTCCGCTCCGTCCTCCTTTATGGCTGTGAGACCTGGCCACTGAGAGTGGAAGACATGAAAAGACTAGCTGTCTTTGATCATAGGTGCCTGCGCTCTATTTCCCGTGTAAAGTGGCATAATAAGGTGAGCAACATTGAGGTTAGGCGTCGAGTTCTAGGTAAACAGGGGAAATCAATCGACGAAGTCGTGAAGTTACAAAGACTGAGATGGTTAGGACATGTGTTACGTATGCCAAGCCATCGCCTCCCTCGACGAGCAATGTTAGCGGATATAGGGTCAGGCTGGAAAAAAGCTAGCGGCGGTCAAACAAAAACTTGGCACCAGTCAATGAAATCCACAACAGTTGGTCTAAGCCACGTAGGAAGGTGTAGACTTCCAGGCTGGGGTCCTCGAGA